CAAAGGTAAAGGTAGTCAACAAATTCACGAACGAAGTATCATATTGGTGGCCAGTGGTTTCCTATAGCCAAGTTGAATTTCAGAAGTCGTTACAGATCAAAAACATATGGCCTAGATATTTACAAAGTCGAGCTGATCAAAAACAACAACATGTCTCCCTGATCAACAACATGTATTTGAACTTCCGGAATCTCATAGATGGTCAAAAAATTTAATATATAAACAGATGGTCACAGTGTCATCATAATGGAGTGACAATCCTTGAGTTGTGTTATAGTCTTTATAAATAAACAAAAGGTCAGCGAATCGTTTGGGAAAAAATGAAGTGAAAAGCCTATAAAGAAAAGGAGTTGTGCACGAGCTATATATATATATATATTCGATAGAAATCTAGGGATCAGATATATAGAAGTCAAACACGAAAAACGCCCATTGTGACACAGAGAAGATGTGTAAAGTGATTGTGGAAAATCTTCATGTGACATGCCGTGAAATAGAGGCCTTCTTGTGCCTTTCTTCCACCTGTATACATTCAATAATGAATGCATGAACATCTGTTGGTGGTTGGTTCTCGTTGGATCCCGCACAATTTGATAGTGACACAAAGACAGGCACGCATCGATTATTGCAAGGAAATTTAACAAATATAAAATACGATCGTGATGTCTCTAAAGACATTTAAGGGAGCGTCAGATCCATGGAGGCTAATACATCCATGTGCATGCAAAAAATTAGAAATTGGCCTTGTGGGTGTTCCCAGAAAATCGATATTAATTGGAAACTTCGGGTCTGACCTTTAAAATATCAAAAACGTGTAAAAACGTTACAGGGGCATTTTCTGCCAAGAAGTTTTAATCCGTTAAAATTTCGAAATGCAAAATAAGCTATGACACTGAACATACTGAAAATGAGGCTGGACCACACAACAAAACCCGAAATGCCAAATCGCAGCCATTTTGACTACGAGAACATCTTAAATATCGTGGCTTTTATATATGAGCTATGTTAAAACATGGACTTTTGATGACAATTTTCCTCAAAGAATTTTATTAATCACCACATTGGTTAGAAAATGCCTCAAGATCCATCAAATTAACCCAAAAGAGACGGTACCGTTTTTTGGAAGCTAAATTTAAATTATAAGCCGATATTAAAAAACACCGGAATGCAAAATTACAACCTTCAAAATACATAATGTGGTCCGGCATCTTTATATGGAAACTATAACAAAGCATGGATCGATTTATTTTCAATCAACACAGGGGTATTAAAAATGTATCGGATATACATCGTGATTTCAGCAGACAGACCCACGGTCAGAGCTTAGTCGGTATATAATGTTATTCTGATCAAAAACATATAATTTATAGGATCTCACAAAAAATATTTTCAAAAAAAATTAAAAATACTTTTTAAAGAATATTTCCTAAGTGACTAATAACAGGCGTCGATTTTTAATGAATATTTTCTAAAGGACTAATGTAAGGTGTGGGTTTTTTATAATATTTTTAAAGCAGAAGGATTTTTAAAGAATATTTTCTAAAGGATTTAGGGCAGGGGTGGATTTTTAAAGAATATTTTCTAAAGGACTTAGGACAGGCGTGAATTTTTAAAAAAAATATTTTCTAAAGGACTTAGGGAGGCGTGGATTTTTAATGAATATTTTCTAAAGGACTAATACCAGGCGTGGATTTTTAAAGAATAATTTCTAAAGGACTAATACCAGGCGTGGATTTTTAATGAATATTTTCTAAAGGACTAATACCAGGCGTGGATTTTTAAAGAATATTTTCTAAAGGACTAATACCAGGCGTGGATTTTTAAAGAATATTTTCTAAAGGACTAATACCAGGCGTGGATTTTTAAAGAATATTTTCTAAAGGACTAATACCAGGCGTGGATTTTTAAAGAATATTTTCTAAATGACTAATACCAGGCGTGGATTTTTAAAGAATATTTTCTAAAGGGCCACCAAGGCGTGGATTTTTTAAAGAATATTTTCTAAAGGGCCACCAAGGCGTGGATTTTTTAAAGAATATTTTCTAAAGGACTAATACCAGGCGTGGATTTTTAAATAATATTTTCTAAAGGACTAATACCAGGCGTGGATTTTTAAATAATATTTTCTAAAAGACTAATACCAGGCGTGGATTTTTAAATAATATTTACTAAAGGATTTTTTAAAGAATATTTTCTAAAGGGCCACCAAGGCGTGGATTTTTTAAAGAATATTTTCTAAAGGGCCACCAAGGCGTGGATTTTTTAAAGAATATTTTCTAAAGGACTTAGAACAGGTGTGGATTTTTAAAGAATATTTTCTAAAGGACTTAGAACAGGTGTGGATTTTTAAAGAATAATTTGTAAAGGACTAATACAATAATAATATAAAAATACTACATGCTTGTTTGTTGTCATATATATTTTTTTATTTTAAATTTTTCGATTATGAACCTGAGATATATTTTTTTGGAATTTAAAATTTAAAAAAAAACTGACTATTTAAATTGGTGGGCTTCATTAATACTCGGCGCAGGATTCGCATTTGGTGGAAGAGTGGAGGCAGGATCTTCAGGGGTTTCTGTGCCCTCTGGAGCTTCAGTGCCTTCAGGGACCTCAGTACTTTCAGGGACCTCTGTACCTTCTGGGGCTACAGTGCCCTCAGGACCTTCAGTGCCTTCAGGGGCCTCAGTACCCTCAGGGGCTTCAGTGCCTTCAGGGGCCTCAGTACCTTCAGGGACATCAGTGCCTTCTGGGGCCTCAGTACCTTCAGGGGCCTCAGTACCTTCTGGAGCTTCAGTGCTTTCTGGGGCCTCAGTAGCTTCTGTTGCTTCAGTGCCAGTGGATGAAGTATATTCATCGGCTGGTGTGGTTTCCGGCACTGCTGTAGTTTCACTGGACTTCTCTACAGGTTTAGAATTAATTGATTGGCCTTTTCCGGCATCATCGCCATGACTAATGACACTCACGTCCACGGATTTGGCATTGACATTAACCTAATCGTAAAGAAAATAATACAAATGTTATCCTTTAGTATTTCCAAAAAGACTTCGAAATGAGCTTCCTTACGACAAAAACCATAAGATAGGCGGTCAAAACTAATACTACACTTGAGAGTTTCATTGTAACCGTTGGCCGTTTTGCAGGAATCAACTTCGAAAACAAGAAAGGTACTGAAAGAATTTCTTCAAATTTTAGGTGACTTTTATAGTGACAACGAATGTCGTTGGGAAGTGCATATTTTTTGCACGTGTTACTTTACTTCACTTTCGAAAAGGCGTTGCATGTAAGTGAAATCGATAAAACTGATAAGAAGTTATCACTTAAGGTTCCACTTGTTGAAAGATATACGTCAAGTGGGGATTTATTTTAAATTTAATTTGTCTGAAAAAAAAACTGAATAAGAAATTAAAAAAAATAAACTTCTGAAGATGTATTGTCTTCTTGTAAAATAATATATTAGCCCTTTAGAAAATATTCTTTAAAAATCCACGCCTTGGGTCGTTTAGAAAATATTCTTTAAAAATCCACGCCTTAAGTCGTTTAGAAAATATTCTTTAAAAATCCACGCCTTGGGTCGTTTAGAAAATATTCTTTAAAAATCCACGCCTTGGGTCGTTTAGAAAATATTCTTTAAAAATCCACGCCTTGGGTCCTTTAGAAAATATTCTTTAAAAATCCACGCCTTGGGTCATTTAGAAAATATTCTTTAAAAATCCACGCCTTGGGTCCTTTAGAAAATATTCTTTAAAAATCCACGCCTTGGGTCCTTTAGAAAATATTCTTTAAAAATCCACGCCTTGGGTCCTTTAGAAAATATTCTTTAAAAATCCACGCCTTGGGTCCTTTAGAAAATATTCTTTAAAAATCCACGCCTTGGGTCCTTTAGAAAATATTCTTTAAAAATCCACGCCTTGGGTCCTTTAGAAAATATTCTTTAAAAATCCACGCCTTGGGCCCTTTAGGAAATATTCTTTAAAAATCCACGCCTTGGGTCCTTTAGAAAATATTCTTTACAAATCCACGCCTTGGGTCCTTTAGAAAATATTCTTTAAAAATCCACACCTTGGGTCCTTTAGAAAATATTCTTTAAAAATCCACGCCTTGGGTCCTTTAGAAAATATTCTTTAAAAATCCACGCCTTGGGTCCTTTAGAAAATATTCTTTAAAAATCCACGCCTTGGGTCCTTTAGAAAATATTCTTTAAAAATCCACGACTTGGGTCCTTTAGAAAATATTATTTAAAAATCCACGCCTTGGGTCCTTTAGAAAATATTCTTTAAAAATCCACGCCTTGGGTCCTTTAGAAAATATTCTTTAAAAATCCACGCCTTGGGTCCTTTAGAAAATATTCTTTAAAAATTCACGCCTTGGGTCCTTTAGAAAATATTCTTTAAAAATCCACGCCTGTTATGGGTCCTTTAGAAAATATTCTTTAAAAATCCACGCCTTGGGTCCTTTAGAACATATTCTTTAAAAAACCACGCCTTGGGTCCTTTAGAAAATATTCTTCAAAAATCCTCGCCTGATATTAGTCCTTTAGAAAATATTTTTTTTAAATCCATCACTTCATTTGCCATTATCTAAGTCTAGACAAATATAATTCATCTTGTTCTAAAAGTTCGGAGCACGTGTATTGTAACAAACAAATCGCTTATCTAAGACCACTCAGACCCGTTCTGTAACTTCTAAGAATTTTATTTATTTAATTTGGAATAGAGATTCCCGATAAGAAGGTAACTAATATCTATGCCAAGAATTAGTTGGCAACCAAAGCACTTAATTAGTAATAATATAAATGGTCTCAGCTATTAAGGATATTTATTAGAATACCTATTTTTGTTACCATAAAATTCTCAAATTGTGAGAACTTCGTTGGCCCTACTAAAATATGTTAAACTGATATGTTTTCATATGCTCTTGGTTATAAACCCCTCTCTCTCTTCTTGTTCTAAATTAAAACCTCAACATAATTAATGTTCCATAAAATTTATTAAATTTATTCAAAACTCTTTGACAAATATCCCAAAATAAATCCAAATGGTCATAGGAGAGGTCAAATCGTTGACAGCTTGATTGGCACAATCGGCAGCATCCGAAGGAATCGAGGGAACCTTCTTGATGGCAGTCTTAACGGCCTTAATTTGTTTATTCAAGGTGTAGAATTGTTTCAACAAAGTCGTAAAGCAGGCCTTGGGGGTAGATGGCTTGCCATTGGTCGATTCATCGTTGTTGCAAACTTCTTCGTTAGTTTGAATGATGGCATTGCAGGTGTTGATAACATTTTGGGTGGTGGTAATGATATTGGCATAAGCCTTGGTAGCATCAGCTCCGCAGCCATGAATGCTGGGCAAGAAATTCAAGGCAGCATCTTTGATTTTCATCACCTGTTTAATGGAACAGTTGACACCCTTCAAAGTTCTCAAAGCAGCCTTGGTAATCCACCAGAAGGTGCTGAAAATGTGGTATTGCTCAATATCAACAAACTCATCATCGACAAAGTCGCTGGGCACAAAGTCGGTGGGGAAATCATCGGTGAAGCCAACGGCATTGGCCTATAAAAACAATTAGTATTATTAAGAAAAAATTATATTAACCGAATTTCGAGGAACTTACGTTGACAGCGACCAAGCACAAAGCGGCAACCAAAGCGAACACGGCGAATTTCATGTTTTTGCTCAGAGAAGTGAGTTATTAATGAACATAAATGAGCATTTTCGCCAATGTTTTTATAGGCCAGTTTTGAGGGGCCTGTCATCATGCGATTAGCTCCTTAGAACTGTCAAAACATGGTTTATCTCGTCTCTCTTTTGACATATTTTTAAAGGTTGTCCCAGTTGCTTATCTGCGGTATGTTTTGGCTACCATACATTGGGAAGAGGACCAGTTATCAAAATCTTGATAGCTTAGAAATATGGAATAAATCCAAAAGCTTCATAATGATAAACAGATTTGTGAAGATAAAAAAAATCTCATTCTAATATCTCAGATCTCATTGAGATTTGCCATTTTTGTAGTCTCTAGTAAAAATTTGGATCGATTTTATTTTTTTAATATTTTTTAAGGACTAGCTATGAAGTTGTCAAAGAATAACTTTCAGAGGACTTTCAGAACTACAAGTGTGGATTTTTACAGAATAGTTTTCAAAGGAGCTCCAGAGATGTAACCCACGATTTTCTACATACAATTTTTCAAATGACTTCTAGAGCTAAAAAGTGGATTTTTAAGAAAAAATTTCAAAATACTAAAAGCATTCTAAGCCTGGATTTTTAAAGAATATTTTTTTAAAGGTTATTCGGTCTCAAAGCGTGAATTTTTTAAAGATTATTTTTCAAAGGACTAATAAAGGCGTGGATGCTTTAAAGAATATTTTTCAAGGGACTAATAAAGGTTTGGAATTTTTTAAGGATATTTTTCAAAGGACTATTAAAGGCGTGGATTTTTTTAAGAATATTTTTCAAAGGACAAATAAAGGCGTGGATTTTTTAAAGAATATTTTTCAAAGGACTATTAAAGGCGTTGATTTTTTAAAGAATATTTTTCAAAGGACTATTAAAGGCGTTGATTTTTTGGACAATATTTTTTATAGGACTATTAAAGGCGTGGATTTTTTTAAGAATATGTTTAAGGGACTATTAATGGCGTGGACTTTTAGATAATATTTTTTCAAAGGACTATTAAAGGCGTGGATTTTTTTAAGAATATTTTTCAAAGGACTATTAAGGCGTGGATTTTTTAAGAATATTTTTCAAGGGACTATCAGAAGCGTGGATTTTTAAATAATATTTTCAAAGGACTATCAAAGGTGTGGCTTTTTTAAAGAATATTTTTAAAGGATCTCTTAGGCCAATTGGCGTGGATTTTTAAAGAATATTTTTAAAAGGACTAAGCGTATATTTTTAAAGAATATTTTTTAAGGGACTTAGCGTAGATTTTTTAAAGAATATTTTTAAAAGGACTAAGCGCAGATTTTTAAATAATATTTTTTAAGGGATTAAGCGTAGATTTTTTAAAGATTTTATAGGCCGAACATCACACACAACCAGTGTTGCCAATTTAGCACTTTTAGTGCTAGATTTAGCACTTTTTAAACTCGTTTAGCACCAAAAAAATTGATCTAGCACCTAGCACTTTTTTTAGCATTTTAATTTGTTCCAACATTTTTTCAAAATTTTTAGTATCACTCCAAAAAAATTGTAGTTTTTCGATTTCACATCGACACATTGAAGTTCCCGTATGTTTAACATGGTGGATTTGATTTTCCGATGTTTTTTATAGTGAGCAGAGCAGTATAGTCCACGGGGCTATACATATGATACATTATGAATCTACCACAAGACTTTATTTTTTTCTGCGAAACTAATTTCCGTGTCGGTGAAAAATTCTGCTTAATAACCACCTCCTGGTGTTGTAATAATACTACATTATCAGAATATAACAAGTAAAAAATTATGTTAACGGCCGAACTTTGTATAACTTTATAATAAATTACAGCCAGCTCAATTAGAAAATGTGTCCAAAATCCCCAAAATACCGAATATTGGGGGACCCTTATGTGAGGGCTAGACCAATACTTAGACCGACATATGACATTTGCCATACCAAACATCCAAGGAGTACTAGCAATGTCTGACAGATCATTATCAAAGCAGCCATGTTTTTTCGTTGACTAGATTTCCCGTATTTATTGGTGTTCGGATTATAAAGGTGCATTTAGATTTTTTTTGTATTATTTACTCCTCTAAATATCATTCGTTCAAAACCGAAAGATGTCGCGCTTCAACAAAACAAAACCTTTATGCAAAATTGTATAGCTATAATCTAGTGCGGTAATGGTAATACAAAATATTATTAGAATAGATATACCCCTGTAAATATTTACGTATAGCTCCCACACACGGTGTCTGCCCTTCTAGAATAAATGTGAAGAGCATATAATGCAATTTTGTATTTTTTCAAACAAAAGTCTGGGTCAATTTGACTTGCTCAATATGCTTATTAGCATTTTCCCCATGTACAATTTTGAGACCTCTAGAGAGACCAGAAACAAATACAAAAAGATTTTGTTGACTTCAACAGCCAAATATTGACCGTTCTTACCAAACACAATACCAGTGAAGACACTGGCCAGAACCAGATATGCAGAATATCGTGACAATTGTTTCACAGCTATGATCGTTACTTTGTTTACAAATGTTAATGGGCATACGGAAAGTCACATACATCTCAGCTATTCGGGATATAACGATCCGTATACCAAAATGTAAGTCCAGGACCAATATTTCGTTACAAACTATTGAAACACAAACATTTGCAATACCCTCACAACATAGCTATTAATTTAAACTTTAAGAAGGATAGATATCATTATAAACTATAATCAAATTTTCTTAAATTCATTTTTAGCACTTTTTTCTGGCACTTTTCTAAAATTTTTAGCACTTTCTAGCATATTTTTCAGCAAAATCTAGCATTTTTTCTCAATCAAGTTTTGGCAACACTGCACACAACCCACCGTGAAGGGAACCTTGACAAGCAACTAGAAGGGCTGTACTGAATATTTATAATATTCGGAAAATGTGCTGTTGACCTCTAATCGAGTCGCGGCAAATATTACGAAATATTGCTCAGGCTCGGAATAAACATCCGCAAAAAGTTAGAGTTTCGTGGTTTAAAGAATATTTTAATAGGACTTAGCGTATATTTTTTAAAGAATATTTTTAAAGGGACTAAGCGTAGATTTCTTAAAAAATATTTTCTCAAATGTGGATATTTAGAGGAACATTTTTCTTATGGATCCATAAAAATACATTTGCAAATGAAAATTCCCAAGGGCATATGAACCTGGATGTTAAAAAAAATTATATAAATTAGTCATTAAGTTATTCGTCAATATGAAGTGTAGGAAAAATACCATAAAATCGATTAGTTCCTAGGTATACATGTACTTAAAAAAAAGCTTCTTGAAAATGATTTCTAATTGAAGCTTTTCGATTTGTTTATAAATTCCACGTAACAAGATTTTGATAAAATTTCGTCATAGGTGGGAGCCAAGGCATTGATTGCATTCAGATAATGGAATGCTAACCGGTTAATGTTGTCAGCATTAAAAAATGATAAACCAGATTATTGACAGTTCCGATGGTATAATTATAGGATGACTGGCACTTCCCTAAAATTGACTATAAAAGCCTTAGCAAAAATGAAAATCTATGTTAATTGGAAAACTAATTTGCTTTGAGAACAAAATGAAATTTGCAGTTTTTGCTTTATTTGCAGCTTTGTGCTTGGTCGCTGTCAATGTAAGTTCCTCGAAGTTCGGGTAAAATTTAAGTTATTTTTTTTCAATGTCCTTTATTTGCCAATAGACCAGTGCCGTTGGCTTTACCGATGACTTCCCCACCGACTTTGTGCCCAGCGATTTTGCCGATGATGAATTTGTTGACATTGAGGAGTACCACATTTTCAGCACCTTCTGGTGGATTACCAAGGCCGCTTTGAGAACCTTGAAGGGTGTCAACTGTTCCATTAAACAGGTGATGAAAATCAAAGATGCTGCCTTGAACTTCTTGCCCAGCATTCATGGTTGTGGTGCTGATGCTACCAAGGCTTACGCCAATGTCATTACCACCACCCAAAATGTTATCAGCACCTGCAATGCAATCATCCAAACTAACGAACAAGTTTGCAACACCGATGATCGACCAATGGCAAACCATCTACCCCCAAGGCCTGTTTTACCACTTTGTTGAAACAATTCTACACCTTGAACAAACAAATTAAGGCCGTTAAGACTGCCATCAAGAAGGTACCCTCGATTCCCTCGGATGCTGCCGATTGTGCCAATCAAGCTGTCAACGTCATTTGACTTCTCCCACGACCACTTTTGCTTCGTCCGTTAAGGCTTGCTCCAAATTGACCAGCAACTAAGTGGAGCGGGTGTTTTTGGATATTTTCGATGAAATTTAAATAAAAGTCAGATTTAATGCAATATGAATTATTTATATTTTTAATTCAATACATAAAGGGGAGGATATGAAATATGAATATTGGCTGGTTGAAGCTAAGTATATATTTTAATATGAAAGACTAAGTTCTGAGAAGTTGAAAATTGTTTGTAAACAAATAATAGGTTTTCATAATAGGACAACGTATTACTCAAAGTAAAGTACTTTTGTTGGCATCTAATTTCTGGCGTAGATATTAATGACTTACTTGTGTGAAATATCGATTACAAGGTAAATGACTAAACTTTATCATAGATATTTGAAAATAATATTTTCTAAATGATAAACATAATTTTCACATTCATGTATTTTTAAATCCCCTTCAGACCTATTTTTATAACCTACACAATTATGTTGTAAGGGTATTATAGCATTTGTGTGGCCGCAAGATTTTGTGACGCTGCGAAATATTGGTCTTTAGGTATACCGATCGTCATATCTCGACTAGCTGAGTCGATCTAGATATGTGTGTATGTCCGTTCCTCTTTCCATTATATTTAATAAACATGATACAGGCCTCAATTATAGACCAATCTTCGAATCGAAATTTTGCATGTAGGACCGTTTATGGTCAATGAAGACCCCTATTGTTTTTGGTAAAGATCGGGTAATATGAAATGAGGATGAAATGGTGATCATCCCATAAATATTGCTTGTTTTTCTGGTCACTCCAGAGACCGCAATAATGATCCGATCATCACGAAATTTTACAGGGGGTGGGAGGGTTATGGCCAAAGAACAAGTCTGACTATCGGTCAATATTTAGGGGGTCAAACGGACTCAGACTTTTGTTTGAAAAATCACAAAATGTGTATTCTATGGCGTATATATTTACTCCTGAAGAACATAGATCGGAGAAGATGTTTGTATATACTAGTGGAGTAGTTGACCTTTGAATTGATACCAATTATATTGACGTGTGTTGTATTACAGAGATCTACCTATTCCGATTACCATTGCCACATTATACGGCATATGTTCTGTTCAACAGGTTCTGGTTATAGGAATCTGGTGAACGAATTAGAATGACTGTTTCGATCGGCCAATATTCAGCGGGTCAACTAAACTAAGGCGTTGAATATGTTCACCCCGGGATAAAATATTCCGAAAATATGCCAGGGTAAGAAAGAGTAACTGTTAATCTCTAATCGGTCTAGCGGGTGCAAATGTTTTCATATTTTTGAACCTAACATAGCAAAAAAGATACTCTACAAACCACAGCTGACGATCAAATTAGCTGTCAAAATGCATAGTTGCCACTTGAATTCGACGTGCAATGATGATCAAATTAGCTGTCAAAATGCATAGTTGCCACTTGAATTCGACGTGCAATGTTGCCACCTATAAGAAATGTTACTGGATGTGTTCTATTACTTTCCCACTAAAAATTACAAAGTAACTTCTTTTGAGAAAGTTCCATTTATATTTCCCTGATAAGATTTGTTAAAAACCTCAGATGAAGATGAACTTAGGATTAATAGTGTTTTATAATTAAAAAAATTAACTATTTCACTATTACTCGAAATAAAAATTCAAGAAAGCTTTAAACAATTTTAACCCTACGGACAATAGCCAAAAAAGTAAAGATCAATAACCGCACAACTTTATATCTTTACCGAACCTAGATTTTTATTGGTTTTAACTTAAAGTACCGCAGTATTTTTAACACACCTAGACCATGTCCGGAAATTGAATTTGTGACAATAGAGTTAATCGTTCCTCTATACCTGCTCTAAATAATAGTAAAATTCGTGTGATATACTGAACATAGTTTCTCAAGTAATGAACATAAATGTATTTTATTTTCAGCTGACCTACGATGCACAGTGTCACGACCGCGGCCAAAAATGGTCAAAACCAAGTACCACGGAGGACAAATTTTTTGATAAGGATTGATAGAAAACACTCCAAATAGAATAAATATGAAATTTTTTATCGATATGTCAAGTAGTTTTGTCTCTACAAAGGTACAAATCTGATAATTATTTATAAACTGATTTTTTACTATATTTTCGAAAAATGGGTGTGTTTTTCTGATGCTCAAATATTTGAATATTCAAATTAACGGTTATTATAAAAGTTTTTATTTTGGTTGCTGTGGATGTAAAAACTAGGATTCGCTTTAGTTTGTATGTATATAGATATCATATGGTGTATACAGTCGTCCACACTTGTAGTACTTAGTTCATCAAATTTTTAATACAAATTTTGAAATTAGTGGAGCAGAAAAAAAAAGTTTAAAAAAGGTTAGCTCTATTTTTTTTATTTGAGTGGTGAAAAGTGTGTTATTTAAGGAATAAAAAAAAAATAGCTGCGGAGTCCTGCGGTCCTAAGAGTTATTTAACTTTTTTGGTGACAACCTTATTAAAAAATATGGCATATTCATGAAATGGTTAGAAGCGAATGGTCAAATATGTTATGTATACAATTAAATAAGTTATTGAGGGACAAATAGGAAGGATAATATGTATTCAGAACATAGAAAAAATACAATATTTTACATAAACTTTGCAATTAAGTGTTAAAAACGTTATTCGAAGCGAAGATATGGGAGAATTGGTTTTTAAATATAGCTTTTAAATAAATTTTCAGTCAGTTTGAAGATTATACTTATTTATCAGATCATTTGAGACATAATCTTATAATCTAAATTTAGATGTCGCACATGAATTACATTTGTGGAAAGTTCATACAGAAAAATATTAGTTCATGGCATGGGATATGCAAAGTGCAGTACAATACCTTTTGAGCGACTTTCACACGATGCTAACAAGTCATGCCAACAAATAATTAGTAGCAGCCCGAACTTTTGTTAAAGCCGAGTTAAATAAGTATATTTAGAATTTTATATTACAATCCGACCTTCTAATATCCTTAAACAGCCATAAAGTAAAGGCCCGAGATTATAACGTGGATAATACTAAATCGTACATTTGGGAAGACAATATTTTATATATATCTCTGATGTGTGTTTTGAAAATTTGAAATTGATAAAAAAGTAATTTATTAGTAACTAAAGTATATCAAATATTTCATTATAATAAAAATAACAAAAATATTACTGCTATACTTAATTTAGCTGCATATAACGATTTTATAGTACAGAAAGTTACATTTTTAGGGACTTTTGGTATGGTAGGTACCTGAAATATGGACCAACAACTGAATTACAGCACCTATTACTTTCTTCGCCCAAATTTGATGTAATTTGGAAGAAGACATGAAAATTTTCCTGCAATTTGGATGAATATAAAAAATTTATAGGTCCAAAAAGCGGATTTTCAAGACCCTTCGTATGGGAGGTATATCAAATCTTGGCCCAATCTACCCAGTTTTTGGTCCGTTGCTTTATAGGCATAAGTAAATGTAAATTGCCAATTTTCATTGAATTTGCTTGAATATTAAAGATTATATAGCCCAAAATAGTAAAATTTTCAAGACCCTTTGTATGGGAGGTATATCAAATCTTGGTCCGATCTACCCAGTTTTTGGTCAGTTGCTTTAGAGGCCTAATTAAATGTAAATTGCCAATTTTTATTGAATTTGTTTGAATATTAAAGATTTTATAGGCCAAAAAGGGTGACATTCTCAAGACCCATTGTATGGGAGGTATACGAAATCTTGGTTCGATCTATCCAATTTTTTGTCAGTTGCTCTTTGGGCCAATAATAAGCACATGTACCAAATTTCATTAACTTACGATAACTCCTTCTATTTTTGGCCGCTGTTTATATGAACTCGCGACATAGTGCGATGGTATGTGACGACATATTTCAGATTTTTATAACGTTAAATCGAAATTTTCATTTATTTTTTTGGATATTTCCCATATATTGGTGATGCACTGAATAGTCGTTTTCTGTATTTGTGAATCGTAACTTTTATGTATTGACAAATATATTCCGATTCTGTTTTGCAGGTGTTCTGTATAAAAATTTTCTTAGCAAATATTTGTCATATACCATATGCAAATAAACCATTCCCCTTTTGGTTGCACATCAAAACTACCAAAATTAATATTGCATAAAATTTAATATTTTTTATTCAGATATCATGTCATTTATCCAAACAATGCACTCTCCACTTAGCTGGTCAATTTGGAGCAAGCCTTAACGGACGAAGTAAAAGTGGTCATGGGAGAGGTCAAATCGTTGACAGCTTGGTTGGCACAATCAGCAGCATCCGAAGGAATCGAGGGAACCTTCTTGATGGCAGTATTAACGGCCTTAAGTTGCTTGTTCAAGGTGTAGAATTGTTTCACCAATTTCGAGTAGCAGGTCTTGGGAGTAGATGTCTTGCCATCGGTGGAAACATCATTGTTGCAATCTTCTTCGTTGGTCTGGATAATGGCATTGCAGGTATCGATAACATTTTGGGTAGCGGTAATGACATTAGCGTAAGCATTGACGGCATCAGTACCGCAACCTTGAATGCTGGGCAAGAAGTTAACGGCAGCGTCACGAATCTTAATCACCTGTTTGATGGAACAGTTGACACCCTTCAAAGTTTTCAAAGCGGCCTTGGTAATCCACCAGAAAGAGCTGAAAATGTGGTAGGTTTCAATGTCGACAATCTCACCATCAACCAAATCACTGGGCACAAATTCAGTGGGGAAATCATCGGTAAAGCCAACGGCATTGGCCTACAAAAATGAAATGATATTATAAAACCATAAATTCTATTACTCAAATTTAAGGGAACTTACGTTGACGGCAACCAAGCACAAAGCTGCAACCAAAGCGAAAACGGCGAATTTCATGTTGTTTAGAAGCGTATTGATTTACGAATAAACATACATTTTCAAATATGCTAACGTTTATATAGTCACATTAGAGGATTTGTTTTTATGATTAGCCCATCGGACCTGTCAAAACTATGGTTTATCATTTCCATTTTGACAACTTTAACCGCTTTGCATTTTATTATCTGCACAATGCAAAGGCTACCTACCACACATGAAGGAAACTTATCAACATTTTGATAACATCGAATGTTAAAAAAATGCAAAGCCTTTTAACGGTGTATAAATATTGTAGAAGTTTTTTTTAAGAAAAAATTAATTGATTTACTAAAGAAAATAATGGACTTTCGAGAGAAGAGAATTCATTGATTTCTGTAGATTGAAGGTTAATTTTTTCTATAGGAAGAAAATCATGAAACAGTCATAAAAATCTTCTTTAAAAGATTTTCATATCTCAGATAGTCCTGTGAAAAATATTATTTAAAAAATCCACGCTTGTAGACCTTTGAAAAATATTCTTTAAAAATCACGTTTCTAGCTCTGATAGTTCTTTGAAAAATATTCTTTAAAAAATCCAAGCTTCTAGATGCGTAGCCCACGCTTCTAGCTCTAATAGACATTAAAAAAATATTATTTAAACATCTATGAATAAGCTCTGATAGTCCTTTGAAAAATATTCTTAAAATATTCAAGTTTCTAGATCCGTAGCCCACGCTTCTAGCTCTAACAGACAGCCTGACTATTTTGATTCAGCCTGACTATTTTGCAAAAACAAAAGACATTAAAAACATATTTGGTCTGTTTCCGTACGGCAAGAATCTACTCGATTTTATTATTTTCTTCGATATCATAAAGGAAAATTTGTTATCGTAGTAAAAAGTAGTAGATTCTTGCAGTACGGGAACAGACCAATTATTTAAAAACCTATAAATAAGCTCTGATAGTCCTTTGAAAAATAGTCTTTAAAAATTCTCGCTTTTGATAGTCCTATGAAAAATATTATTTATAAAATCCACGCTTTTGATAGTCCTTTGAGAAATATTCTTTAAAAATCCACCCTTTTGATAGTCCTTTGAAAAATATTCTTTAAAAAATCCACGCTTCTGATAGTCCTTTTAAAAAAATATTCTTTAAAAAATCCACGCTTCTGATAGTCCTTTAAAAAATCCACGCTTCTGATAGTTCTTTAAAAAAATAATCTTTAAAAAATCCAGGCTTCTGATAGTCCTTTAAAAAAATATTCTTTAAAAAAACACGCTTCTGACGCTTTAGTTCTTTAAAAAAAAATATTCTTTAAAAAAATCCACGCTTCTGATAGTCCTTTGAAAAATATTCTTTAAAAAATCGACCTTTGAATAATATTCTTTAAAAAATCATCCTTTGAATAATATTCTTTAAAAATCGTCTTTTGAAAAATATTCTTTAAAAAAATACACGCTTCTGATACTTCTTTGAAAAACATAAATAAATTTGAAAAACAAAAATATTCTTTAAAATCCACGTCTCTGATAGTCCTTTGAAAAAGATTCTTTAAAAAATCCACGCTTTGTATAGGCCTCGGAAAAATATTCTATAAAAAAATTCACGCCTTCTTTAGACCTCGGAAAAATATTCTTTACAAAATCCACGCTTAACGTCCTTTAAAAAAATTCTTTAAAAAACCCACGATTTTACCTCTGATAGTCCTTTGAAATATGTTCATTAAAATCCCCAACGTTATAGCTCTGATAATCCATGCTTATATAGTCCTTTGAAAATATTATTAAAAAATCTTAAGCTTATATCTTCGAATGCCCCTTTAAAAAGTTCTCTATCCGATATACCTATGAAATGTCTTATTCTAAAGTTTCAATAAAATATATGTTTAAAAGAATCCGAATTGTTTTTCTTCTATTAATTCAGTGTCAAGAAAAAATTTTGTCGGAATAAAAATCTAAAATTTTGTATTTAAAATCATATAAAGGCATAGAGTTTAGAAAAAATAGCTGTTTTCATTTTAAACCTCGGACAGTTTCGGACAGTTTTGCTGTCTTTCAGCAAAAACAAACCCATCAATTGTTTTCGAAAAATCGCAAAGAAAGAGAGTAATTTTAAATGTCGAATATATTCGACAATAACACTGAAAGGGTTAATGTTACTTTACTTTACGCTTATAATTTTAAAGCATACTTTTAGCCGAACATTTGAATTTTGGGTACACAAATGAGAGAAAATATGTTTTCCTTTCTGTTTAAATTAGAATACCACTTTTATATTTTATCTACAGGATATTTTATTTATAGAATGTCTTTCTGTCTACAGTGAACCTCATGACAAATTAGGACTTAAATATTTATAAATTTTCAATGATATCCCAACATAGGATGTCGTCATTTCGTCTATAATTTTTCTCTCACTATTTTACCCCTATTGATCTTCCATCTAAAAAAGTACCCTGTGAATTTCTAGAAAAAAATAAATATTTCTCATTGTTTATTTTTGGGCCAATATTCCACTTGATTTTATTTATAAAGTTATGCTTTCAACCACCTGCAAAAAAAGTCAGTAGCGCGACTGATTTTGCAGGTGGCATGCAATACTCTTAGTTTTGTCTTATCATCAAGCAATTGACATTTTCAGATAGTTTGACGCTCGATGACTTGTATCTGTAATCTACTGATTGTACTTAATGTCATTTTCATTAAATAGTAATTTAGATTAACGAAATGTTTTCGAAAATTGTTATGATTGTCTAAGTTCGTATACTTTAGACAGCCTTCGATTAATAATACTTGTAAGCAAAATAGATAATCCAGTGGCTTCGAGAAGGAGTCCTATGATGTTTTAGAAGATCAATGATGTCTTCCACAAATACGAGTAGAAAGTAAACCAATGGAGTTTTCAAGAGACCTTCAGAGCAATAAACGTGCCTATTTTAAATAATATTTTCCAAAGGACTATCAGAGGTAGATGCATGGATTTTTAAAGAATATTTTTCAAAAGGACTGTAAGAGCTAGAAGTGTGGATTTTTAAAGAAGAACTATCAGAACTTTTAGCGTAGATTTTTTACAGAAAAATTTTCTAAGGACTATCAGAAGCGTGGATTTTTTAAGAATATTTTTCAAAGGACTATCAGAAGTGTAGATTTTTTAAAGAATATTTTTTAAAGGACTATCAGAAGCGTGGATTTTTTAAAGAATATTTTCCAAAGGATTATCAGAAGCGTTGATTTTTTTATAGAATATTTTTCAAAGGACTATCAGAAGCGTGGACTTTTTAAAGAATATTTTTCAAATGACTATCGGAAGCGTGGATTTTTTAAAGAATATTTTTCAAATGACTTCAAAGCTAGAAGTACGGGATATAAGAATATTTTAATATGGAGTTATCAGAGTAAGCGTAGGATTTAAAGAATATTTTAATATGGAGTTATCAGAGCAAGTAGCGTAGGATTTAAAGAATATTTTTCAAAGGACTATCGAAACTATAATAAAGGATTTTTTTTAATTAGTTTAATTTTTTTGAAAACAATAATTTTCAAATTACAGTCGGAGCTATATATGTGAATTTACAACTTTGTATTCGCATTAGAAAAATATAAAGTGGTAAAAAAATAGCCTCAATGTCTTTAAATCTAACCAAATATGGTGACATTAACACCTGGCGTATTTTTTCATTATTGACAGCTGATAACACCTTGAGATGATTAATTGACATCTTCTCTGGAATCTTCTTTTCAATTAAATAAATGTGGAAAAGAAAAACTAAACTAACAGAATATCATTTAATAAAAAAATTGCTAAAGGTTAAGGAAATAGTTTCCCAAAAAATCGGACTTAGGTTGGTCCGATTTGTAATATTCTGTTTCTATCAAAGTACAATTTTAAACGAGGTGGCATATTTTATCTGTTCACAAAAATACTCGAATTTTGTATTCCATATTTGCTCTATTAATAAAATATTCCGAGGCTATAGATCTAGAAAATATTTTTCATATACCTTTTTGAAAATAAGTCCTTCCTTCTTTTAGTGTGAATAAAAATTTCTAAAATTAGTATTGCATTTCAATTGGATTTTTTTATTTAAATGTTATATAAAAAAATTTCAATCATTTAGCTGGTCAACTTAGAGCAAGCCTTAATAGAGGAAGCAAAATTGGTCATGGGAGAGGTCAAATCGTTGACAGCTTGATTGGCACAATCGGCAGCATCCGAAGGAATGGAGGGAACCTTCTTGATGGCAGTATTAACGGCCTTAAGTTGTTTGTTCAATGTGTAGAATTGTTTCAACAATGTCGAGAAACAGGTCTTGGGGGTAGATGTTGAGACATTGGTCGATTCATCATTGTTGCAAACTTGTTCGTTGGTTTGGATAATGGCATTGCAGGTATCGATAACATTTTGGGTAGCGGTAATGACATTGGCATAAGCATTGACGGCATCAGTACCGCAATTTTGAAGACTGGGCAAGAAGTTAACGGCAGCGTCACGAATCATAATCACCTGTTTGATGGAGCAGTTGACACCCTTCAACGTTTTCAAAGCGGCCTTGGCAATCCACCAGAAAGAGCTGAAAATGTGGTACTGCTCGATGTCAACGAACTCATCATCGGCAAACTCACTGGGGACGAACTCGGTGGGGAGATCATCAGTAAAGCCAACGGCATTGGCCTACAAAAAATTAAAGTCTTAAAAAAATCAATTATATTACTCGAATTTAAAGAAACTTACGTTAATGGTGACCAAGCACAAGGCGGCAACCAAAGCGAAAACTGCGAATTTCATGTTGTTCACAAAGCGTATTAATACACGATTAAACATACATTTCCCCCTTTGCCAGTGTTTTTATAGTCGAAGTAGTGAATTTGATTTTATGATTAGCTTATCCGAACTGTCAAAAAATATGGTTTATCATTTTAGTTTTGACAACCATTATCTAACCAATCCAGATGCTACTTACCACACATGGCGAAAACATATCAAAAACCATTGATAACAACGTAAATTCGAAAGTTTTAAATGGCAAACATATTCGAGAAGTTTTTTTTTAAGAAAATATCTGAGTAATAGACCATTATATTAAATATTAAAAAAAGACTTTAAAAACTCGTGTTAGAATACGTTTTGCACCCATGTTTATAGAACTTTTAACACCCAAGGTAATAGTCCTTCAAAATTTACCAAAATCTACGTTTATTGTGCAGAGTTTATTTTAAATAATTCCTATAAAATACAAACTAACTGTCCAGGGGGCCTTTTGAATATTTTAGAATATATCCTCCAGTACAGATAGCTTTAAAAAATCCACGTTTATATCTCTGATAGTTCTTTAAGGATATTTTATAAAAAATGCACCGAAAGTCCTTTGAAATACTGTCCTTCTTAAAAGGTTATGAATAAATTAAAAATATAATAAATTAAAAATATTTATATTTGTATTGTCATTCAAATAATAATTATTGCTATACTCTCATTTTCTGAAGCATACTTTTAGGAGAATGCGTGAAATGGGCAATTTTTAATAGAAAGAAGTAAAAACGTCGTTCAGTATGGCCGGGTTAACTTTCAAAAACTTTCACCATGTGGTGAGCATGAGACTAAATTGTTTGCTAATAGTTAACAAAAACGGGACTAGGAACATTAACATATTTAAAAAAAATTAAGTAGGACCTTTGCAAGAGGCGTGGATAATTTTCAAAGGACTATCAGATGCGTGGATTATTTAGAGAATATTTTTCAGAGGACAGTAGTGTTGGCGGTTTTTTGGGATACCATTTGTATTTTGTTTTTGCAAAATAGTCAGGCTGAATCCCAGTTTTGTTGTTTTTATAAAAAAGGGGACTATCAGAGCTAGAAGCGTGGATTTTTTAAAGAATATTTTCAGAGGACTATCAGAGCCAGAAGCGTGGATTTTTTAAAGAATATTTTTCAGAGGACTATCAGAGCTAGAAGCGTGGATTTTTTAAAGAATATTTTTCAGAGGACTATCAGAGCTAGAAGCGTGGATTTTTTAAAGAATATTATTCAGAGGACTATCAGAGCTAGAAGCGTGGATTTTTCAGAGGACTATAAAGAATATATTTTCAGAGGACTATCAGAGCTAGAAGCGTGGATTTCATAAAGAATATTTTTCAGAGGACTATCAGAGCTAGAAGCATGGATTTTTTAAAGAATATTTTTCAGAGGACTATCAGAGCTAGAAGCGTGGATTTTTTAAAGAATATTTTTCAGAGGACTATCAGAGCTAGAAGCGTGGATTTTTTAAAGAATATTTTTCAGAGGACTATCAGAGCTAGAAGCGTGGATTTTTTAAAGAATATTTTTCAGAGGACTATCAGAGCTAGAAGCGTGGATTTTTTAAAGAATATTTTTCAGAGGACTATCAGAGCTAGAAGCGTGGATTTTTTAAAGAATATTTTTCAGAGGACTATCAGAGCTAGAAGCGTGGATTTTTTAAAGAATATTTTTCAGAGGACTATCAGAGCTAGAAGCGTGGATTTTTTAAAGAATATATCTCAAAAGACTATGGCTATGACTATGCTATAAGAGTAGAATTAAAAACTATTTTTGAATATTTTCGAAGGAAATCTGAAGACCTTCATTAACAACCCTGGCTAATAGCTCACTTCCAGCTCCGATAGTCCTTCGTCCACGCTACATGCGTGGGTTTTTAAGGAATATTATTTCAAAGGATTATCGGAGTTAAAAGTGCTTACTTTTAGAAACAAACTATTGAAGCTGCAAGCGTGAATTTTTTCAAGAATATTCATTTAATAATAGTTATTTATATTTACATATGTATATTTATTTATATTTTAAAAATTATTTTTCAACGAAAAAAGCGTATGATTTATTAATATAATTTTAAAGCCTATATTTATAGTTCCAATTCCTATGGCCAAACGATTATCTATTTGTCTAACAATTAAATACAATAATTGACTATCTGAACATTTCTCAAAAACATTTTTATTAATTGAAATTCGTATTTATTCAATGACATTAAATACAATATTTAGAAGATATATACCCGTATTAACCATCGAACGGCACACACTTGACTCCATTTATTATCGGAAATTGTCAATCTTTTGATATGACAAATGCTAGAGTGTTGATGAATTTAGAATTCTAGTACGGGAGGTAGGCGAGGAAGGTCGATAAGGTATTTGATAGGTCAATGAGCTTTTCTATAGACGAAAAATTAAATGAATGCATCAAATTGTCAAGAATCAATTAGAACTTCTTACTGTCATGTCACGAGGTCCTTCGTACAAAGGGAATATTGGAATATTCTATATGTTGAAAGTCTCTGACGCCGAGTGAACGCTCCACCCCAAGTTATTTTTATTTTTTATTATTTTTATTTTTTATAAAATAAAAATAAAAAAAAATAAAAAATAAATAAATAAATAATTTTTGTAATGTTTTATTTTGAACCATTGAGGCCTCATTTTGTATGTCGTAGCCGAAATTTCCGCCGTTGAGGCATTTCAGATTCTTGGTGAATAAAATATTTCTTCCCAGGAATTTTTCAAAGTTGTTCCATATATTTAAATTGTCTCAGATAACGGTATCTGGTCGAGGGTATAAAAAGTTAGGCGTGATAGAAAATAACGATTCGTTTACCGGTTTAAGGAATTTTATTCAGGTTCCAACAGAGCGTATAGTTTTTTAGGGTATTTTCCGGGACCAGTATGGAATGCAACCCGACATTTTAAAGTATATATTTTCCGGGCGGAATTTTTAAATAATATTTTTTGGACTTTTTTAGAATTTTGCGTCTGTGCGTTGATTTTAATAAATCTAGAACCAACAGATCGTGAGTGTAATAAATATTATTTTTTCGGAATGAACAGATCGTGGATTTTTAAAGAAAACAATTCCGTCGACCAAGCATTGAAAACATTTTTCCAAAGCACAAACTGTTATGGATTTTTTAAAGAATATTTTTCTGGTGGTGTTTTTTTTTAAGAAAAAAATATTTTGCAACCAATATTGTTTACATTATTAAAGAAACAATTTTTGAGACAGGACTTTTTTTGGAGGATACAATTTCGCAGATTTTTATAACCTCCGTTTGTATAGTCTCCACTTGTAGGGTTTTGGTTATTGTTTTATAGTGACGCGTTGTTTATTGTTTAATTTTTTTCTTAAAAATTTTTGAATATATTTTCACTATTATCAATATTTTGATTGTGTCAATTAAGCTGTCAACGACGTCATCTCTCATGATCACTTTTGCTTCGTCCGTTAAGGCTTGATCCAAATTGACCAGCAATAATAACATAGTTTATATATAAGAGCCCCGCTCGCTTTTAAATACCCTATTGATGGTGCAGGGTATAAAATTGTACTTGTTAAAGTATATATTTTAGGTACTAATTCACCCACATTTGGAACCCACAATGTAGCCATTTCATTGTCGGCCCAGCTCGGCCTATTTAGGAATTTCATAAATTATCAGAACTATAAAAATAAACCACTTCCATAATTGATACCCACAATTCACGGCGATATTTATCACGGTGACAGCACTTCAGAATTCAAGTGGGGTCGTATTGTGTTTACTGTTTTGTTTCTTTTGCTCATTCATTCCCCATTTGATATAAATTAAAGATAAGACAACACTATGTACACTTTCAAAATACCGAAAATATAATTCAATTTCGTGAGGCGTGCTTTGATTTTCGTTTATAATTTTCAAATAATATGATTATTGATTAATATTAATAAGAGTTTTGTTTATGTATAATTTTTGGGACAAATGTACCCAAGTATATAATTTAAAATGTAGTTAGGAGATCAGAATCATGATGATTTACGCAAATAAACGTCTAAAATTAGTTATTTGTTTCACAATGTCGCAGACAATTTGACAATTTCATTGTCTTTAATCACTAGAAATAATTTAATAGAATCTAAGCTAGAAACAGATAATATTTAAATATTCACCTTCATATATTTTTATAAGCAACGACAAGGGTAATAAAATCAGCGATACGAATTGCAGTTACACAACAAACATCGATATTTTAAATGAGAATAATTAACAAGTGAATAAGCGTTAAGTTCGGCCGGCCGAACTTTAGATACCCTCCACCATAGATATACTGACAGGTACTAGAAATGAAAATATGGGGAACATACCAAAAAGTGGACCTATACCGACATTTCTATGTAAACTATAATACAAATTTCAGAAATTTTTAATGTATAATTATACCCCAGCCTTATGGCTAATGAGGGTGTATACACTTTAAACCGTGAAAATGTGCCACATCGAAATATTGGTTCTAGACACCATGTTTCTTTCTTTGGACCAAATACGTTTCAGAAAATTTAGATTCCATCCAAACTTTGCCCATCTTATTATTTCTTCGAAACTTAGTTCAAATTCGAAGATGGGGAATATCGGTCCACTCCTTCTGGTACCTCCCACACAGGGGCTAGGTCTAAATACGGGTTATAGTTCATATATAGTTCATTATCAAACCTTACGCTCTAGTTTTTTATCTCGATATCCTCCGCCGGTGATATAGTTACAAAAGAGTCTTAGAACCAAACCCAAAACTCGGAAATTGCATAACTATTTTAATATAAATAAAAAGGGGTTATATGGGGACTACCCCAAAAAGGGGGTGCATATTAAAAAATTTTTGTAGGGAAATTTGTTACCATATTTGACTACAAAATACCAAATTTCAGCGAATTCGGTTGAAAAAAAAGCCTCAAAATATCGAAATTTGGGGGTACCCTTATATGGGGGCTACCAGAAAAGTTGG